GAACAAGTCTCTCATATTTCAAACTTGTAAGTAACAGCTAGGCAAGGCGTGTTAGTTTTATCTTTGTTTTCTCAACTTGTAAATGTACCTTTTGCTAGAGTGTTTATCTCTGTTTGCTGTAGCTTTGAACTTAAGGCTAGAGGGGGTTCCTCTGGGCTCTTTGAATCTGATTACCCTGTAAAGTTATTTTCCATCCTGATTTTACAGAGATGATTTTTACCTTTCTTTCTTTAATTAAAAGCCTTCTTTTTAAGAACCTGATTGATTTTTCCTTGTTTTAAGATCCAAGGGGTTTGGATCGGTGTTCACCAGGGAATTGGTGGAAGAGTCTCCCAAGGCTACCCAGGGAAGGGAGTTAGCACATTGGGAGTAGTGGCAGCAAAAGCAGATCTAAGCTGGTAGAGAAGCTTAGAGGTTTTCACGCAGGTCCCTACATCTGTACCCTAAAGTTCAGAGTGGGGAAGGAACCTTGACAACTGGAAATACCTTGCCTGATGCACTTCAGGACTGTGTTAGCCTTTTCACGGTCACATCACATTGACAGCTCATAGTCATCCTGTGATCAACCAATATGCCCAGATCTTTCTCCTCCTCTGTCACTTCCAACTGATAAGTCCCCAGCATATAGCAAAAATTCTTGTTGTTAGTCCCTAAATGCATGACCTTGCACTTTGCACTATTAAATATCATCCCATTTCTATTATTCCAGTTTACAAGGTCATCCAGATCTTCTTGTATGATATTCCGGTCCTCCTCCATATTGGCTATACCTCCCCGCTTTGTGCCATCTGCAAATTTTATTAGCACACTCCCACTTGTTGTGCCAAGGTCAGTAATAAAAAATGTTAAATCCGATTGGTCCCAAGACTGATCCCTGAGGAACTCCACTAGTAACCTCTCTCCAGCCTGACAGTTCACCTTTCAGTATGACCTGTTGCAGTCTCTCCTTTAACCAGTTCCTTTTCCACCTTTCAGTTCTCTTATGAATCCGCATCTTCTCCAGTTTAACTAATAATTTCTCATGTGGAACTTTATCAAATGCCTTCCTGACATCCAGGTAGATTATGTTTACTGAATTTCCTTTGTCTAAAAAATCAGTTATCTTCTTAAAGAAAGATAGTAGTAACTTGTTACCACCTCTTGAATAGAATAGTTGAAACAATTGTAGAAAAATCTACAATTTCTTTCTATCATTTAGGCTACTTACTTTTTAGACACGTCAGATATTAGGAATGGCAATATACAAAAACCTGTAGTAGAACACTTCAGTCTCCCTGGACACACAATAGCAGATGTAAAGGTAGCCATCCTGCAGCAAAAAAACTTCAGGACCAGACTCCAAAGAGAAACTGCTGAACTTCAGTTCATGTGCAAATTTGACACCATCAGATCAGGATTAAATAAAGACTGTGAATGGCTAGCCAACTACAAAAGCAGTTTCTCCTCCCTTGGTGTTCACACCTCAACTGCAAGAGGAGGGCCTCATCCTCCCTGATTGAACTAACCTCGTTATCTGTAGACTAATTCTTGCCTGCATATTTATACCTGCCTCTGGAAATTTCCACCACATGCGTCTGACGAAGTGAGTATTCACCCACGAAAGCTTATGCTCCAATACATCTGTTAGTCTATAAGGTGCCACAGGACTCTCTGTTGCTTTTTACAGATCCAGACTAACACGGCTACCCCTCTGATACTTGACTTTTTGCAGTTCACCAAGCTTAGAACAGATCATTTAACTTTAGGAAGCCTCCTACCAGCCCTTTCTTATCTTAATCACCCGTTAATCACTCTGTTCTAAACAAAATCCGGACTCCCTGCCTCAGGGGCGCAAGGTGGGAGCAGTCTCCTGTCTCCTCTGCAGAACTCATTACTCTGCACACTCAGGCTGCCTGCCTGAGGCTTGCGGAGGAGGGGGGGGCGACGCCCTCCCAGCCCCCCCAACTCCGCCGCTGAGGGGAATATGCCTGCAGGGCCTTGCCGTGCCATGAGGGAGTGCTCGGGGACAGCCCCCTGCCCCAGGCCCAGCCTCTGCACGGCGCGGGTCCCACTGGTGAGCAGTGCTAGCTAATAGCCCTGTGCTCGCAGTAAGCAGAAGGAGCGAAGGAGCAGACTCTGTGTGCACCTATTGCAGCCAGGCCTGGGAGCTCAGGGCAGAGTGCAGTGGAGTCACAGGGGCGGGCGCAGTAGGAGCATGGTCCCTTGCGGGTGTTCCTGGGTGAGCTTCTCCCTGTGCTGGGAACCAGAGCGCTAATGCTTAGTGCTTATGCAGCCCTGATGGGCCACATCCTGCTCTGAATTACATCGCTGGGCGGGCAGTTGGGGTTGACCTGCCCCATGGCAGAGGTGGAGGGACGTGCCCCAGGCTGCAGAGCGTGTCAGTTACAGGGCTCCATGTCACTCAGTTCTCTCCATCTGGGGGGTCTCCACTGCAGCCTAGGACCAGGCGCTGGAGCTGGGAAGGCCCATTACCTGGAATGGAGCATGTCTGTTGGGAGGTCTCACGGCAAGGGGCAGCTCACTAGGCATGGCAGACCAGGGCCCTGTGGCTCCTGCCCCAAGACCCCGCAGTGCGTCAGCCGCATTAGAGTCTAGGCAGTGGGGAAAGGAGGAGGCTTACGAGATGCAGTGCGCAGCCGTCATGACCCATGTGGGAGCGATGAGGGTCCCCCCGCAAGTGTGGTAGAAAGCACCGTCCTTCTCGTACTGCAGGGAGATCTGCCAGGAGACAAGACAGGGCAGTGGGGGACCTGCTATGGAGCTCCAGGGCTCCCCGTCTTCCAGCTCCCACCCACTGAACCAGCCAGAGACCATGGCCCATCGGAGTGCTAGCATGGCCTGGCCCGGCTGTGGAGTCAGGGTGCTCTCGGGGGAGGGCTGTGGTTACACACGGCAGAGGCTGCTTTGCGAGTTAACATGGCACACACTCTGCCGGGGCAAACCTCTCCCTGCTCACACAGCACCAGAGGACGGCAGGCACCGAGGGGCTGACCCACGCGGACTGTCACTCAGAAATGCCCTGGGAGTTGAGGGGAGCAGCTGGTCTCTGGCTCCCACCTGGCACTCCCTCACGCCCACCCCCTGGCAGAGCCCTGCTCATGTCAAGTGACTACGGAGGGGCTTCGGGGGGCTCTTTGGGGCAGACTCTGCCAAGGTGCTGCTGCCCCTTCCCAGTGAATTTTAGGGCTTTTCTGCTTCTCCCTGTGCCCGTCAGTGCCATGGACTGGAACATGGGCATAGACACAGAACTGCTAAGAAACTCAAAGGCAAGGAATCCACCGTGCCCTCCCCAGACTGCTGCGAGCTGGAGCCCAAAGTCTGATTTTCAGAGGGTGGGGCTCAGCTATGTCTGAAACCAGCCCCGTAAGCGTAGCCAGAAGCTTGTGCCAATCCTGGCCTTGGGCTGCCCAGTCTGTCAGTAGGGGCCATGGAATGCACACGGCGGGACCCACAATAGGCACAAGCTAGATCCGGATAAAACAGCTGCTAGAATTTCATGCACATCAGACGTGGGACTGGTTCTCCCAGACCGTAAGGTCAGCGGGGGAGGGGGTTGCCTAAGGACTGCGGGGATGGGGGGCGGGCGTTAAACCAACGGCGAGTTTTGCTTCCTCTACAGCTGTGAGGAGAAGGCATGAAGAAGATGGAGTTTCCTGTTCCTTTAGCTCTCCTTTGCTCCATAAACTGGGCACTATTTAATCCCCACCCCACCCCCACCCCCTTTGCTTAGCCTGTCCATCACCATAAGAGCTTGGTGTGGTCAGAGCAACGCTGCAGGTCTAACCCCCGCAACCCCCAGTCCTGGGGAGATTACAGCGGGGTGAATAATGGAGTTTTTTAGTCCAAAATTTGGGGGTGGGGGGAATTTCGTATCCACCCAAAGTGAATGTTTTTTTCAGATTTTTAAGAAACCTAAACAGTTGAAGAAGAAATTGATAACGCTGCAGCCGTGTCAGGGTAGGACCATGTACCCGTGACGGGTCAAACGAAATATTTAATTTTGCTTTGCAGTGTTTGAAAATGCTTTTAATTTTTTTTAATAACTGGACGTACTTTTGAAAGATTCACTTTGAATTGAGAAATCGAAACATTGAGCTTCAAAAAGAAATATTGGGGCGGGCTCCAAAAACTGTTTCGATATTCTTCTGACCAAGCAAATGAATCGAAATTAAGGCAAACACAGGTCAAGTTTTGACCAACCCAAAACTGGATTTTTCAGTGGGAAAAAAAAAGTTTGCTCTGAACCCTAACACCCAACGCTAGTGCAGCTGGTGCGATCGCATCGAGCCTCACTGCTGATTGGCTCTCACCGCGGACAATGGGATGGATTTCACTCACCTGCCAGGGCCAGCTGTACGGCACGGCATCCTCTCCGTTCACCACCCTTGTGTGGGGGGAGTAGGTGGGTATCCCACACCCATGGGCTGGAGGGGGAGAGCACTGTGCATTACACAGATGGCAAAGTCACCAGACCCTTCTGCTGAGCAGAGGAGGCTGGACAATGGGGAAGCGAGACATGTGGTCATGGCAGCTCACCCTCTCCAATCCAACCCTGGACATCCCCAGTCACTCCCCAGTCCTGAGGTGGAGGGGCGCTCCCCTGGCCCCGGCTCTCCATGAGATGGTTACCTTGCCCAATGTAGGCCTACCCAGGGTTTCATCCCCTCCTGAGCCAACCCCTCTCCACATTTACAACTGAGGCAGGCACCAGGGCCCGTTTCCTTGACAGCACCCTGCACAACCTCCGCGAGGTTGAGGGGCAACCTGGGGGCTAGGCACAGGAGGACCAAGGAGAGCTCTGTGTGTCCTGGGGCTGCAGATGGCACGAAGGGCCTTCTTCCTTAAGTATGTGCTCTGTGCAGGGGCGCCGGGGCAGAGGAGAGAGTCTTCTCTCTAGCCCGTTTCTTACCACCAGCCACAAGCAGAACGGGGATCAGCAGCCGCAGCATCTTGGTCAGACGGACCACAAGGACCAAGGGCCCTTTAATACTCCCCTTTCTCAGAGGCTGCAGGGAAGGGAGGTGCCTAGAGCTCTGGGAGCAGGTGTTGGAATATCCTGTGCCCTGGTGCAAGGTCACTGCGAGGAAACAGAGCCCTGTCCTGCGCCTGCCCGGCCTTGGGCAGATTGGAACGTGGCCAATCGATGGATGCCCAGAGCGTCGCTCAGCAAACAGGCTGGGTCACAGTCCGGGTGCCCTCTAATTTTTCCCACCCATGTGCGGAATGACTTTTGTTATGTGCGCCAATATAGAGGTGAGTTGTGACACATCACCTCCACTTTGGTGCACATAACAAATGTATGTGGTGGGGGTGGGGCTGAGGGGTTTGGAGTGTGGGATGGGGCTCAGGGCTGGGATAGGGGGGTGAGGGTTCCAGCTGGGGGTGCGGGCTGTGGGGTGGGTCAGAGAGTTGGGCTGTAGGGGGGTGATGGCTCTGGCAGGGGGTGTGGGCTCTGGGATGGGGCCGGGTATGAGGGGTGTGGGACGCAGGCTGCCCCGGGGCTACGGCGGGGAGAGAGGTCTCTCTCCCTGCAGCAGCACCTGGGCTGAGGAGGGAGAGGTGCCTCTCCCCGCCATGCCAGCTCTGGGGCTGGGCTGGGTTGGGGCCAGGTGCCTCTTCCCTGTCTGCGGGAGGTCCAGGCTGGGCTGGGTTGGGACTCGGCTGCGGCAGATCCGGGGCTGGGCTGGGGCCGGCGGGGAGAGACTCCTCTTCCTGCCACAGCAGGTACAGGGCTGGGGGAGAGGCATCTCTCCCTGCTGCAGCCCTGAACGCCTGCACAGTGCTTAATAGGCTGCTGCGTGGCCACGCAGCTTAGAGAGAATTTAGGTCACAGTGCTGGAGAAGGAGTGGGGCCACCCCCGGCCGGGGCACTGGCATGGGTCCCAGGGGGCTAGAGGAATGGAGTCCATCCCCCACTGAAGTCCCCTGCTGTGGGGAGGGGAATGAGCAGAAGATCTGCACAGACATAGGCCAGCTGGCCTGGTCCTTCTCCCTGCACTGAGGTAAGGACTCAGGGCCTGATCCAAGTCCCACTGAAATCACGGGAGACTCTGACTTCACTGGGAGCTCGGAAGGTCCCTTATGGAGCGAAGGGGACATAGGAGCAGCCTGTGCCTTGTGCTGCCATTCTGCCCAGGGGTCACTCGCAGCGAATGGTGCTAACAACAATGCGGCTGCGTCAGGGCAGGACAATGTACCTGTGAGAGGCCAGAACCCACATGGGACGTGTTAAGCTGCAGATGTTAAATGCAGGAAATTTGGTCACTCTTTTATAGGTAGGTGCTGCTAATAGATGGCTTGTACAGGGTTACTAAAGTCTGTTATAAACATGTCCCAGAGGCCAGCAGCGTATATTAGAGGTGGTTATAAGCCCATCAGCAGCAGGGGTTATGGATGGTTATTGGCTAGGGTTACAAGGCACCCACACATCTATTGGTCTCTATAATGATCTACAGCAACCGATTAACAGTTCTTAAAATATCTACTTAGCCTTCGTTAGCCCTCTATAAACCGCTTCCAAATGGAACCTTCATGCAAAGTGTGCGTGTAAAGTCGATTCAGATTCAGGGTTCCCTTGAGACCACGTAGGACTTTGTACTGCTTTCTATGGGACTCGTTTTAACGCCTTATTGACACAGGGTGGCTGGCCCCTTTGAGGGGAATCAGGGCCCAGCCTATCCACAACAGGCTTCGTTAAGGAGAACAAGCCCATCTCAGCCCACCTGTAAGTAATTAACTGCCTGGGTGGCTGGTTGGCAGCTAAGTGACGAAGGAGCACCTGGACCGTCTAAACGGCTACCAGGACCCAGTTGCTAAGGGTGCTCTTAGCCAGAGGAGATCCCAGACAGACGCCGGGAGGAGAGGTCGGCTTAGCTTATAGTACATAGGGCCCAGGAGTAGGGCAGAGGGATTCTCGGCACAAGGAGGGAGCCTGCCTGAATTCTTACACAGAGCCAGGAGGAGGCTGTGGGCCGCCTGAATTTTGGAGAGGACCCGGGCTCCAAGGATGGACGCGAGGGGCTAAAGAAGCTGTACTCTGTACAGGAGTGAATAAATAAGAGGTAAAGGGAGAATCTTGGTCGAAGTACTCTGGGCTGGGAGTCAAGCATTGCAAGAGGGAGAAAGAGTGCAGCAGGCCTGCCGGGCTACGCCGTACCACAAGGCAGTGTGCGGGAGGGTGGCACCCCGTCACTCTTCTCTGGCCTTGGCACCCCAGTCGGGTTCTCTCTGCTAAGGGAATGCTCATTTAGCTTCCTTGACGTGTGCGTGTAGGGTGCTGCATTGCACCTCTTGCATTTAATTTCCCTGCGTTATTGTAATTGTTGGATTTAGAAGAAATGAGAAGGGCAGAGTGTTGATCTCCCATTCAGAGAGACACAGGGCCCCAAATTCCATGGCGGGGGGAACTGCCTGGGTTTCTGCAGAGTCTCCCGGGGCTGGACTTGGCTTGTGTCCATTCTCTGAATGTACAAGATCAAAGTCAAATAATCACACCCAGTTCACTTCCAACTGACCCCACAAGGCATTTCCCAGTAGTGGCCCTTTTCCCCACTCTGGGTCTCTGGCACAATGGCAGTTGTGACAATGGGAATCTTTTTCTACAGGGTGGTTCCCTCGTCTTTGACCCAGGTAATGGGTAACCTCAGCTGCTGGGTGAACCTCCCAGGCCTGCCCATCCCTGGCTTTCCTCTGCCTCCCGACCAGCCTTTCCAGAGGCTGATCCCCTTCGTGGTGTCAGCATTTGTGCCTTTCCTGAAGCACCGCTCCCAGGGGAATGAGGCCCCCTGATAAACAGGATCAAAATTAGTCTGGGAACAAGAACAGGTGGCACAAAATGAGTGTTAACAATTAACAAGTGACCCTGGTTTAGCAGGGGATTTTTATTTTTTTCCCCACAAGATGCTGTCAAATCTGCTGCCAGACTCCAGAGAGAGTGATAAAGGCAGAGGTGAAGGACAGAGAGCAGCAGACTTGCTTACACAAGGCTTAGTCGCTTTACCATCAAGGTGTCAGGGGCTAGGCTAACACAGCACAGTTTCTCCGAGCTTCAGCTAACCTGGACAGAGAGTGACAGGGATGCAAAACCCCTGATGTTCTCGCCAGGATGGTCAAAAATGTCCAGTCAGACTGGTTTTCCCCAGGATGGGGGCATGGGCAGAGGGTGAAATTACAGATTCCACCCCCCTCATTTCAGAACTCCGAGGCCAGGACCCCTCTACACATCAGGAGATTTTAAAACTAATACAATTTGCTGGATGATTATTGAGCCTTCTAGGGGGGGTCACATTTCTGTGCCACTGCCAGAGCTAGAAAATACTTCCCCAGCTACTGCTTGGTGTTTGAAATGGAAGCTGGGTGTCTCTCAGAATCACATGACTCCAGGAGCTGGGGGCTTTCCGAAAAACACCGACTCGTGCTACAGCCAGGAGAGTTGCCAGCACTGGAACCTTGTGGAGTGTGCTGCCCCCCTCCCTGCACACTTGCTTTCCGTCTCCAGCCTGGGGGGCTAAGCTCAAACCAGCCATGGCTGCCAGAACTAGAGCAGAGTCTGAGCGTGATCTTCATGCACCAGGAGCAGATGGTGTGATGGTTGCGCTTCTCTGCCATGGTGTTAGCAGCAGAACCCTGATGCAGGTCATTAGATCCCACATCCCTTAAAGCCAGGAAAATGGGGGCATTGCTTGCTGTATGGCCATGCAGCGCAGCCTGGTCTACTCTAATCTGTTATAGACAGGCATGTATGTAGCATGCTCCTGTGCTCTGATCTTCGTCTGCCCCAAGGGGAAGATGTTGTCCCTTTACTAGGTGTGTGGGCCCCAATTCTCCTCTCTCTCACTCTGGGTAACATGACTGGAGTAATTGCAATGTACAATTACAGCAGGGGAGAGGAGAGCAGAACCAGTGGACCCAGCCAATAGCACTGTACTGAGGGCCTTGCCAGAGTTAAACTGCACCCCTGGGTGGCTCTTCGGCACCTCACCACGACCTGCCCTTAGCATGAGAAGCCTCTGCCTGCTGTGGAGCAGCTCCCTGCAACCTGCAGCCTCTGGCAGCACCGGCCCTGCCTTCCAGGCCTGCATCGCCCTCGCTCTCTCTGTGCAGGCAGTGACAGGTGCACAGTAACCCCCGAGTGCCCTGCAGCATCCAGCCCCTTCTCCACTGTTCCCAAGGGAGCAGCTTGTGAGAGTCAGCTCAGACCCAACACCAAGCACCACAACACCGAGCTCTATGTGACGGGTTGAACCCCCGTCCGAGGTGTCACCTGATGTGCTGGGGTCTCACTGAGCCCCCCTTTCCACCAGCCTGGGTTTCCTCACCCTGTTCTGCTGAGTCAGGCCCTCAAGCCTCCTCCAGCACACACACAGGTAGGGACACACCCAGCTGCAAATGGAGAGAGACACTGAGATCAGCTCTGCGTGGGAGGAATCAGCTCGGGGATTGCCCAACACTCACATGCACACATCCTTTGGGGGATAAACCCCAAATAATATTGTTTTGCGCTGTTTCAGAGCAAGCTCATTGAGAGAGCTATGCCCAGCTTTTTGCCCCCCCCCCCCCGATATGAATTGCACAAACTGGGTTCTGAAATAAACAAGAAATAAGTTTATTAACGATAAAAGATAAATGTTAAGTGAATATAAGAGACAGCAAACAGAACAAAGCAGATTACTGAGCAAAGAAAACAAAACGAAAAAACAAAGCTTAATGCCAAGTATCAGTGGGTAGCCGTGTTAGTCTGTATTCATAAAAACAACAAGGAGTCCAGTGGCACCTTAAAGACTAAGATTTATTTGGGCATAAGCTTCTGAAGAAGTGAGGTCTTTTTACCCACGAAAGCTTATGCCCAAATAAATCTGTTAGTCTTTAAGGTGCCACCAGACTCCTCGTTGAAACTAAGCTTAATACACTCAAGAAACAGGTTACAAAATGTAATTTCTCACCCTAAATGTTGTTTTAGGCAGGTTGCAGAGTTTCTGTAGCTTAGAGTTTCAGTTATTTCTCTTTACAGACTGGACTCCTGTCTCAGCCTGGAC